GAGATATACGTAATTATCAACTTGAATTGTGGACACATTAAGACAGATCACGTAGAACAACATAGGTTTCAATAAGATTTGATCCAGGATTGAAAACAGACACGAGCATAATTCTTGGATAATTCAATGTTCTGATTCAATGACACATTACAAAGCACGACTAAAACATTAATATGAGATCCGAGATGACACCTGAGTGTATTTCCAACACCTAAGACAAATTTCAATGTACGGCAAACTGTTTCTACCTACCGGTGGATGACATCCAGGTAGCACACTCAAACATCACTAATCTCTAACAAACCAACTGGTAGCATTATCACACGTCGCCAGTGGCAAACTGATACTAGTGTTGCGTGAGAACGTTTACATTTTTCATAAATACAGCGAATCGACTACTAACGGTTACTGTTAAGCGAAAAATGCAATAAAATAATATAACATTAGTTTGTGTTATATGCATTGTGTTTGCTCTCTTCCGATGTTACACCAGATTTTATTACGCTGTAGGGTATACACATTTGGCTCATTATCATAATAAATGCTCACTGGCTGCATGGGTGTAATGTTACACTACATTATTATGAGCCTCCGAAAGAGGAGCCACCTACGAAAGAGGAGCCTCCGTTGCCCAGTGGTTAGGCCCGTACATTGTCCACTGAAGGCTGCGAGTTCAAAACCCGGCCAGGGCAGTGAATTTTCGCAAGGTGTAAAAACCTGGCTCTCAACATTGGAGACTGTGAATCTCCCGTGGCTCGGATGACTACGTACAATGGCGGTCCCGTCTCCAGTAATACTAAGGCCAATGGGGACGTAAAAGAACCACTGGCTGTGACTACCCTCAGTGCCTTTCGGCTAAAAACTAAACTACCTGGCTTTACCCAAGCTAGGTCACACCCCATGGCTAGTAACCCAAGCTATGGCAATCAAGCAACAAGATTTCTCTGCGGCCGTCTCAGCTAAGCTGTGCCGTCGATCAACAGGACTTCTTGCCAAGGGACGCTATCCTGCGCCATGTAGCGTCGTCATCGTAGGCGTAGCCTCGCAGTTTAATATATATATATTCTGTGTAATGCCCCATTCGGGCTCTCCTAGGTAATTAATCAATTATTATCATTTTACATAATATGAATCACGTATATATCATATTGAATTAATCAGTATATATCGTATGCTTTATTATATCTTAAATAATAAGTACCGCTGGGTTAAGTAAGTCCAATGATACTGATTAAATTTTTTTACATCTAACATAGTTCATATAGTCTGTAACTGTATATATTGTGCAGGTATTTACGTACAATGCAGTACATTCATGGGCAAAGTATTCCCCTCCCTACACCTCTGCAACCAAACGTTAGCCACACCCCACTTCTGCACGTCACCTGTCACCGAACGTTACCTTTACGCCCTCCTTCACCACAAACAACTTGTCACCAAACGTTGCCTTCATCCCCACCCCACCCCCTAATTACCTGCCAGCGCTGTCACTAAAAGTTATTATTTTAACCCTCTCCACTTGTTACCACCTGCCTGCTACCTGGAAGCATAGTGCACCACACTGATATTACATTAATTTAATGAGGTTTACTACGGGCACAAACACGATATAGTAATATCAATCACACCCCACATACGCACACAATCAACACCCATGATAAACAAATATTCTAACCTATTGTTAAATCGAAAACCTACGTGTACAGGTTCTAGGGAAAATTGGTGAACATCGGCAGGCATATATACTTTACAAAGTCCATACTCGTAAGTAGGAATACATCTAGAAATGTGCGCATGTACACACCCTTAGCTATGTCGGGAGCATGCGCTAATTCCCCGCAGCCGTATCAAGCTTCGAATACCCGCCAGCAGACTAGCGGTCATCAAGATGTGCCCACAATAGGTGCAGGTATTCGCAGCTGCCCCAACCAGTATCAATTAATATGTCTCCGACATATATCCACTCGTTTCAGTCCAAAAAAAATTGTAGGTTCATTCCCTGGGCTTCACATGGTAGTTGAAGAAATGCATGTCATGTGTGCATCCACATTATATACACGCATATATATATATATATCGTATGACAACCTTTATAAGATGTAAGGTAAGAACTGCCTTTTCTAATAAAGCCTAGCTAGCCATGACAACTCATCCTAAAGCTAACGTACATATCATAAGAACATCATATAAGAATGATCACTGTAAGGTCAATGTGAGGTCATTGTGAGGTCACCACCCAAAATCATTACTGCTCACATAACCAGGTGGCACAATGAACGCATCACCGTTTGTTTGCCTGGGTGTAGGCACTGGTGAAGTGTTTTTTCATGGAGCCAAACAGGCTTGGTCTCTCCTTCTCCTCCTCCTCCTCCTCTTGCTCCTGCCCTTGCACGTGCAGTCGCTTCCTCTCTGGGATGAGTATGGCCAGGCCGCGCCGCGTCTTTTCAATGGGCGAAGCAGTCTGCGTTGGAGTGCTGCTGCGTAGCCCCACCCGCGCTACCGCACGTCCCCGGCTGCCACTCGCCTGTAACTCCATCTTTATGCGCTTTGGGTTCTCGACGTTGGCTGCCACCTTCGCCACACGCTTGCCGCGCACTGCTGCACGCTGGCTGTTAGCGGCCACTGGCGAGGCCAGCCGGGGTCGTCCGCTCGTTCGGTCATCACTGGGTGTAGACACGGGATCCGCCGCACACGCGCTACGCGTGTTCCGGTAAGGTGACACAGCAGCAGTCGAAGGGGACACCCCATCAGAGCCGGGCGACCGCATGGCGACAAGGCGCGGAGACATGCGGCCGACAGCGCGGCTTGCCACAGCGCCTGCGTCCGACACGGCGGGACTCACGCTGCAGCTGCGCCCTCTGGTGAAGAAATTTGTGAGCTGGAAGTTATCGGGCAGGTTCAAGTCGCTGTCGCCATCATCGTCAGCGGCAACAGCGGCAGGGTAGGACTCGCGACTCGTACTGCGCGTTATCCTTCGCTTGAAAGGATGCAGCAGAGACTCGCTTGGCTTCGCCGCCGTGGCCGTTGCTGCTTGGTCCGCAGTTACTGTTGCCACGGTGACCGGCGGAGTTGTGTCGTCTGCGGTTACCTGTAGCAAACGAACGTAAGTGAAGGTTATTAGTGCATAGGTTGACAAAAATACATGCTAAATCCATTTGAGAGTTTGATTCGTCGCAACATCACTACAGCTAGGGCGGAAGGTGAGCAATAGATCTGGGTGGCATAACAACTTCTAACCAGGGCATTGTAAACCTCGCAACCAATCATGACTACTCAAACATCCTGGATCAATGAATTCATCCAGCGTAATTTCTGTTCTCTCAGTCCAGTACAAAAGAAATGCTGGCTGAGACACCACTCCTCTTCCAGTTGCTGGTCCCATCACTCAGTCTAAGTGACCTAGTTTCATTAGTTTGTTTACTCAGATTATAGGCGTGCAATTTTACTCATATTTACTTGTGTGCACGTTTTTTCTTCCAGCAATAATAAGTTGAATCGAATGTGACTTCATTATTACGTACCGATGCTATGGTGATCGGCTGGGCAGCGACGGCAGAAAGACGGCGCGGGATTCGCGTATATGTCTTCAGCTGAGTCGTCTCACCCTGCGAGTTTTCGCTTATGCTGGGCGAGGCACGTCTCAATGGAGATGAACCATATCTCAACAGTGGTGAGATAGATCTCAACGTTGGCGAGCCAGATCGCAACGTTGGTGAACCGTGTCTCCGTGCAGGTGAGACACGTCTTAACGCAGGCGGCGTACGACTCAACGTAGTTGAAGCCTGTCTCGACGCAGCTCGTCTCGGTGTAGTTCGCCTCAGAGCAGACGAGCCCTGTTTCAACTCGGGAGCGGACGTCTCTGGTTCCTTTCGTGGCCGCCCTCGCCTGTTTTTAGTCGGTGTTGTCAGTTCCCCCCGCAAGTTGGTCGTGTCATTACTGGAAGCTGCTGGCTGCAGTCTCGCCCAGCCTGAATCTGGCGAGGTTCTGCATCCTGAGATCCCTTGCCGGAGAGCAGGTGGCGACACCTGCTGGCAGCTGAGACGTGCGGCTATCTGCTGCTTCTGTCTCGCTTCCGTCGGTCCATTCCGCATCGTTTTCCGCGCCATCCTCGGTGGTAGATGTGGCGCCCTCTGCACTGTGCTGTCATTTCGGGCGACGGAGTCTCGTGTCGGTTTGCAAGACGAGACAACCGCTTGATTTGCAAGAGGCACAGTGGGCTGCATGCTCCGAGACATCACAACTCTGGGTGTCTGAGTCGATGATGCGACATGAGACACTGCAGGTCTGGCACTCTGAGACACTACTAGACGGACAATGTGTGACACTGCTGGTACAACACTCTGTGAAACTGCTGGTTTGACACTATGTGAAACTGCTGGTACAACACTCTGTGAAATTGCTGGTTTGACAGTATGTGACACTGCTATTCCAACACTCTGTGAAATTTCTGGTTTGACAGTATGTGACACTGCTGTTCCAACACTCTGTGAAATTTCTGGTTTGACAGTATGTGACACTGCTGTTCCAACACTCTGTGAAACTGCTGGTTTGACACTCTGTGACATTGTGAGTAGAACGTTCTGAGATGTAGGGAAACGGATGGTCTGAGATGTAGTTGATCTGAAGTGCTGAGGAATAATCAGACGGATGACTTGAGGCGTTGCCCCCATGGAATCGGTACTGCGAAGCACTGTGGGTTTGAGGTCCTGGGGAATCGTGGGGCCGAGTGTTTGGCTCGATGCTGTGGGTTTGAGGACCTGAGGCATCGTGGGCTGATGACTAGGAGAGGCTGTGGATCTGCGACTCTGAGGCATTGCGGTATTGACACACTGGGGCATGGCAGGTTTGGGTGCCTGCGTGGACGCCGTTGGTTGGACAGTAAGCGAAGTTGCGACTTGGATGTGTTGGAATACAGGCTTTATGTCAGGTTGACTCTTTTTGGGAGAGAGCAGCATGTGCAGGCTCGGCAGGTCAACCGGGTCGCTGTCTGTGGAGGTAGGGCTCTCGTTGCCCGTCGCTGCCTCCCCCTCAATGCCGGCGGTGCCTGCCTCGTCCATGCTGTCAATCTTAGACGGAAGTCTTGCCGAATTAGGATCAGCCGCATTGTCTATCTGTGCGCATTCGGGTCCTACACGAAAAGTAAAACGACGACGTACTGACAAGTAGCTTCTTTCTACGCGAGTGACAGACGACGGTGGACTGCGCATATCATATCAGGGTGCGAAATTAACGGGAGTCCGGAGTCAAATACTCCCTGATTTACTGTCGGACTCAGTTCAACAAAAAATTACTCCGATTTTACTTGGTTCGGGACTCCTGATTTTTGCTGATTGAGAGAGTCCGGTGGGACGCCCTGAAATTCTTTCTGCCACTACTAACTAGTTTCAGTTCCGAGAGCACTAGAGGGACTACCTCGCGGAATTACTGTATTTTTTCAGCATTGCAACTTTTATTGTAATTTGGCAGACATGCAACTGCATGAATCTTAAAAATAAGCACATGCGTTATTGTTAATATCTTTAATTTTGAACCTCAGACCGCGGGACTCCCTCTTTTTGAGAGTAGGGTAGTTGCCAGGTTGCCTGTCATATCATATAGTGGACATGCCCACACTGCCAGAGATACAGGTGATGCAAATAAGCAATGTGATATGAAACAAAACGTCCTCAATTTCCCTTGATAAAAATCAAAAAATCTTCATATCTGAATATGATCTAATTTTAAAATCTTAAAGTAATGATTTCACGTTTTCCCAACCGTTTTTATATTTTTCTCGCCCGTACTGATACATTTATACCAGTACTCCTTGCATAACACCAAGTATATACAGTAAGGCTAATATCTCTTAAAACACGCACACCTTATTTTGACCAATATGTGCATCGATTAGCATTTCAAATGAGATTTGTGTACATATATCAACATCACTTTTTGGCAGCACTTTCATATTTAATTTTCGCGAATATCTAGAAGACCTAAATTGCCGTTTTATAGCCTATAACAACACAAAAATAGTAATATTTATGCTGGAGTAATCATTTCTATTCCAGCTAACAGGTGATATTTATGAATTCTTTGATTTACTCGAGAGCTGATCGTTTTAAAGACGTGAGAAGAAGATGCAGCAAGGTAGCGCTTGGGTAGGTGAGCAGTAGGTAATTAAGAGTATGACATACCTTCCTGCGGATGACTGCCTGATGAAACTTCATCCTTCCCATCATCCTGTCTCAACTCCGTTACCGTTTCCGTAGAGACGTCAACCGTCATTGACTTGCAGTCCGTGAGGTGCTGGTTGAAGGGTGCCATGGTTGCCAGCTCAGGTGACGTGCCTATTCTGTCTGCCAGCCTAACGACTTTTCTCTTGCCTCCCCGCAAAGCCTCAGAGTCGTGGCTCGCCTCAACAACCGGTGACTCTGTCGGTCCAAGGCTCACTGGCAGACTGCACACCGCAGTTGGCTGCTCCACTTTGCCGGTCGTGCTTCCTGTTCCTATGTCAATCAATGGTTTGTATACGTCTGACTTGTCTCTCCTTCCTCCGTCCATCTGTGGTTGGTCTACATTTACCTCGCCTCTTGTTCCTCCATCCATCTGTGGTTTGTCTACATCTCTTGTTCCTCCATCCATCTGTGGTTGCTCTGCGTTTGTCTCTGCGGTGTCAGGCTCCGAGTGATGGCCGCTTCCCTTCTCCCTGCCGGTGGCAACCATGAACCTCTCGATGCAGCGCCACAGGTTCCGCTTCGCAGCCGGAGACCTCCTCAGCTCCTCCTGCTTGCTGGCCGCAAACACAACTGATGTCTTGTCAAAATTGTCATCGCTCGCCTCGCCTGCGCTGGCGCCTCCTGGTGAGAATTCTACTTCCAATTTGGGTGATGCAACCATGATATTCAGTGCATCTTGGTCTCCTATTTCACACGGTGAATCAGCACCCCCTTCCAACACGTCTGCACTATCCGGTGTGACCTCGTCTTGCCCTTCACGTACTGATTCTACGCCCCCTGGTAAGAGGTCAGCACTGTTCTGCATCACCTCGTCTTTCACTTCCACAACATCTTGCATCTCAGTGCCACTGCTGTCCGGCGATTTATCTGTGACCGCTGGCGATAATACGCTGGTCGAAGGTACCACTAGTACGTCCTCTGGAGGGTCCTCAGATAAAATCAGGTCCTCGGTGCGGCGTGTGATCGGCGGGCTAACGGCCGTTGCCTTGCCGATGAGAAGCGGGTCATTGCCGGATGTGCCTTCCTCTCCTGCGCACGTTGAAAGACTTGCTGTCTGTGAAATATCGGCCACTGCCTTTACGTGAGCGTCGGGGTGCGTGGAAGAGTTGCACCAGTCATCAGTAGCTTCGTGGGTCAATGTCTCCAATGCTGGCAGGCTTGTCTCCACGTCAGCGACCACAGGATCGACGACAGATGACGCGCAATCACCCACGCTGACCACGTCGCCGGATACCAAGAGGCCATACGAATCGGCTGGTGAGGTCTGCGGCTGGTGTTGTGCATCGTCACCAGCGACAGTGAGTCGGTCGTCGTTGACAACATTGACTTTACCGCCGTCATCGTCGTTGATGGCAATTCTGCCGTTTTCTTCAGATACGGTGACTCTGCCGTCGTCGACAGCAACTGTGGCTCTGTCGTCGTCCTCGGATACGACAATTCTGCCGTTGTTCCCGGCTACGGTGACTTTGCCGTCGTCGACGGCAATGGTGGCTCTGTCGTCGTCCTCGGATACGACAATTCTGCCGTCGTCGACGGCTACAGTGACTCTGCCGTCGTCGACGGCAACTGTGGCTCTGTCGTCGTCCTCGGATACGACAATTCTGCCGTTGTTCCCGGCTATGGTGCTTCTGCTGTCGTCGACGGCAACGGTGGCTCTGTCATCATCCTCGGATACGACAATTCTGCCGTTGTTCCCGGCTACGGTGACTCTGCCGTCGTCGACGGCAACGGTGGCTCTGTCGTCGTCCTCGGATACGACAATTCTGCCGTTGTTCCCGGCTACGGTGACTCTGCCATCGTCGATAGCAACGGTGGCTCTGCCGTCGTCTGTGACTCTGCCATCATCGGTGGCAACAGTAGGTCTTCCCTTGTCTGCAGTTAGGGTTACTCTGGCAGCGTCCACGGCTAGGGTGGTGTCGGTGAATGTCGACGCATCCATCAGCTCAGACGTCGACGTTGCTGCACCCGCATCCACGCAGTAAACCCCCATCTTTGCATGTTGCCGCCGCGCCCGTGGAGGGCGCCCAGGGCTGCGCCGTACCCTCAGTTTAGCCACCGCCCCGCTGCTTGCTTCCAACGCGGGCTTAGTAGCCTGTTCGCTCAGGGTAGCCCTCCTTCTGCTCTGTCCCCGGGCAGCTGGCATTAGAGGTAGCTGCTGGGAAGCGGCGTCCAGCTGCTGGGCAGCGGGTGAAGCAGTCTTGGCATCAGCCACCGCTTTTCGTCGCTTCCGCCGCCCTCTACTGCCGAAATACACGCGGTTCGTCGATCTTCGCTTTTTCTTCTTGCGAGCGGGCAGCGCACGCGACGCACTGCTGACGTTCGCTGCGTGTGTTACCAGCGTCGTCTCCGTCGTCTCGGCAACCGCGTCTGACACTCGTGAGACGCTGGACGCCACGACATGCGGCAACTCCGCTGTCGGCATTGACAAGGCCATTTCGCTGGCGGAATCCTGCTCCGGACCCTGCAGCAGCTGGGCGAGCAAGACTTCCAAAGGCTGCTGTGCGTTGCCGGTGGCGACTGTGGCGGTAGCATCCGCCGATTTCGCCTTCGAAGTTTCGTCGTGTGGCGTCGGTTGGCTGTCGTTGTCGGGTGTCGTCGTGATCTGCTTGGGTGCATGCGGCTGCTGCCGCCGCGCGACCGAAAGAGACGGAGCAGCGTGACCCTTGCGCGCCGTGTTACGTGGGAGCCCCGGCCGTCGCAAAGGCGTGTCGCCGGTAGGGGGCGCCGTCGGCTTGGGCGGGAACGGCACGGAGCAGGGCTTCAGCGTGATGACGAGCGACTTCTCGTCGAGTCTGGCGTGGTAGCGGCTGCCGCTGCCGGAGCTCGCTCCCTCGTCGTCGTCGTCGTCGTCGTCGTCATCGTCACGCGCATGCGCAGCCTTACTGGCGCGTTTACGCCGCTCCTCCCGCAGCCTGTTCAGCGCCAGCCGGCGTGCCTGCTTCTCGTGTCGCTCCTGCCGCATCTGTTCCGCGGATTGCGCTTTCTTGTCCGCCGGCTCTCTTCCCTCGCCTCGCTGCGTGCCCTCATCCTCGTCGGTGGCAGAGTACGCGTCTGAAGAACTGGAGAATTCCAGTGAGTCGGAGGCAGATGCTCCCATGGAGTCTCCCTCCTCACTTCCCTGCCAGCTCGCACTGGACGCGGGCGAGGGAGGCTCTTCCGCATAGTCCGGGTCTGCGGCGACGATCAGCGTCGCGGGAAGCGGGCGCCGCTGCAGCCGCACGCTGCAAGGCCGGCACAGCAGCTGGTCCAGTGGCCTGACAACTGTGGCGACCTCGCTGCCCGAGGTTTGCAGGTAGTGGCCCGCCTTGTCAGCATACGGCTTAATGACAATCTTGATCGGTGGCTGCTCTCGCTGCGCGTCGACAGCACACGCCGTCATCATGCCGCTCGCTTGGTCCTCGATGATCTTAATCACATCGGGGCTACTGTCGCCGGCGCCCTCTGGTGACCTGCTCATCTCGACGTCGTCCGCATACGGGATCGTCTCAATCGACGATGCGGGCGACGCCTCCTGCGGCGGTGGCGTGCTCACCCCGGTGGCGGTGACGGTGGGAGCGGCCGGCGGCGGAGGCGCCGTCGCCATGATGCAGACGTCGTCGTGCGCGAGCAACTCCTCGGGATTGATCGTCACAAACTCCATGCCGCAGCGGTCGCACTGGAAGTACTTGGGCGTGAGGCGCGGCACCTTCGCGGCGGCGCACGTGTACGAGTGGATGTAGTTGTTCGCGCCGCGCGCCATCATCACCGGGTACCTCACCTCGCACTGCATGCACTGCAGCTCGCGCCGTCGCAGGTTCAGCAACTGGCACGGCATGCTGCCGTCGGGGGCGACGCCGCCACCCTGCCGCGTCGGCCTCGCTCGCCGCCCCGCGTCCGGCGACCGAGGGCTGCCCGGCGTCGAGATCTTGAGAACGATGTGGCCGTCGGCCGTCGTCTTCGTCGTGGCCACGCGGCTGTGCGACGGTCGCTCCCCCCCGCTGCCGCCGCCGCCGCTGGCACTGCCGCTGCCACCACCACCGCTGCCGCTGCCGCCACCGCTGCCGCTGCTCCCGCCACCACCGCTGCCGCTGCCGCCGCTCCCGCCACCGCTGCCGCCGCTCCCGCCACCGCTGCCGCCACCACTGCCACCACCGCTGCCGCCACCGCTGCCGCCACCACCGCTGCCGCCACCGCCACCGCTGCCGCCGCTGCTGCTCCCGACATTCATGATGTCGTCAACAGCCTTGCTCATAATGCGGCTGATGAAGAGCTCGGCATTTTCGGTCGCCGACAGCTGCGCAGACGACGCTTCGCCGTGCTCCTTCGCAAACTCCTCAGCCAGGTAGCCGCCTCCCACCTCCAGGGGGCGCTCATCCCCCAGGGGAAGCTCATCGACCAGGGGACGCTCATCGACCAGGGAGCGCTGCTGCTTGTGCAGGGACGTCGCAGTGGTGCGCTGATGCTCAGCTGGTAACTCGTGGGCGTGGGGTCGTGGGGTCTGCCAGCGTAAATCGGTGGCGCCGATCTTCTCTCCAATTTCCGACGACTCCGAAGTCTGGCACGAGCCGACGTCGCGTTGCAGGGAAGATTCCGGGCCGACGTCACGTCGCAGAGACGAGTCCGGGATGACGTCGCCTCGCAGTGAAGATGACTCGGGGCTCCTGCGCAGGCTCAGGTCGAGCACCTCCACCGGCCGGCGGGAGCGGCTGGACAGGTCGACGGCAGGCAGGACATCTCGCGGGTGCTGATGGGAGATGCCGCCGCCCGCCGCTGCTGCTGCCGACGCCGGGGGTTTCACAGCGGGCGCTCCCATCGGCGTGTACAGCTGCGGTGGTGGTCGCGCGGGATTCTGGCCGGCGCCACCACGTGGCACGAGCGGGGGAGGCTGCCGCGGAGGGCCGAGCGAAGCTGCCGCAGGTCGCAGCGAGCGCGGCTCGAACGCGCCGCGGCCCGGCGGCGCCGCGGCCGCACGCTGCTGTTGCTGGTAGACGGGTGGTCGGCCAGTACCGCCCGACGACGACGGCAAGAATGTCGCCGGATGACCAGGAAAGGGCGGCGCTCTCGGCTGATATTGCGACGCCCCTATCGTCTGCTGCATCACGTCCTCGTACAAAGGTGGCGAAGAGAGAAAAGGCTGCGACACGCCGCGGGGCGCCATCTCTCGGTGCGGGGCTTGGCTGAGCACTCTGTGGGCACGATGGGGAGGGAGGTGGTGAAGGTAGGCAGGCAGACTCTGCTGCTGCTGCTGCTGCTGCTGTTGCTGCTGCTGCTGCTGCTGCTGCTGCTGCTGCGACAGCCCAGGCACCAAGTTGACTCCGGGCCGGACATCCCTGCCGGACTGCTTTGGCAATACTTCGGCCGATACCGACGACTGGTTCACCACTTGGAAACGCATGTTCATGAATGATTCAGCATATGATTGCTGCTGCTTTTGCTGCTGCTGTTGCTGCTGCTGCTGCAAGTGTTGCTGCTGTTGTAACTGTTGCTGCCGATGTCTCTGCTCCTGTTCCTGCTGCTGCTGCTGCATGTGTTTGTGCTTCTGAGACTGCAGCTGCTGTAGTTGCTGTTGCTGCTGCTGCTGTAGTTGCTGCTGCTGCTGCTGTTGCACCAACCGCTGCTGCTGCAGCTGTCGCTGCTGCAGTGCATGTTGGGGTAGCATTCCATGACCCCACATCCGCTCGTGCTCCTGCAGCTGCTGTAAGTCTCGCTGCCAGTCTGCGCCTGCTGCTTTGGATCCTGCTAGCGGCGCTCCGGCTTGCCGTGGCCACGACCTCCCACCTTCATGGTGCAGCATCGTCGGGTGGCCCATGGTCGGGCGGAACTCGCCCTGCCGCGGTGCTGGCATTGTTTGAACGACGGTCGACGCGCCAGCCCGTGGCAGTGCATTGCGGAAGCTCATGGCTGCCACGTGTGGATGAGGAGCAGCCGGCGACTGCTGCGGCGAGGGCAGGAAGCCCGGTGCGGCATGCGGCGGCATCCTCGCCATGTGCGCTCCCTGCATCTGCGGCGACCGACGCGAGAACCACGACGTGTCTAACCGGCGGTGCGGCTGCTGCACGAGCGGCGACAGCTGCGAGAACGGAGCCGCGCGAGGAGCTGCTGGCGCCTCCTCGCGCGAGAAGATCGCCTTAGGGTCGGGGATTCTCAGCTCAACGTCGACGCTTTTGTACGCGCTCATGCTGTGATGTACGTCCGACCGCTGCGACGCATAGCGCGGCTCCGCGCCACGCTGCTGCGCAGGGGGCGCCACCACATCTGCGTCGTTGCGGCGTAGCGTCTCCTCGTGGGGCATCGCGCCAAAGCGGTTGCGTACAGTGCGATCATCGCCTCTCTGCTGCGACGGAGGTTGGTCAGTAGGGGGCGCCGCTGAAGACTTTTCAGGCACGGACGACCCGGTGACCACCTCCTGGTGTTCTCTGTTCGCACGTTCGGCGTACTCGCGTATCTCGGCAAGCACGTCTGCACTTCCCACAACGTGCCGGGCTGCCTTGTGTCTGCCCATACCCTGTCGCATGAAGCGGTTGGCCTCACCACGAACGGAGAGGTGCAGCGGCACGCCTGTGTGGTCGTCAGTTGGCGCGGCGGTGCTGCCATCGCCCGTCTGCTGGTGAGCAAGTCGGTTAGCGATGGAGAGCAGGTTCCTCGTCTTCTTGGCAACGGTCGGGGTCGTTGTCGTCAGCGTCGCCACCGTGGACAAGCTCGTGATGACGCGGGACGTCACCGATGCATCAACAGCCACCGCCGCTGCCTGTGGAGCGCAACAAATGTTTCGATTAGATGTGGAAAAGTTGTTCCGACAGAGATGAGAGGCTGCGAGTGCGAGGGAAGGCACACCTGCATGATGTGCGAAGTACAGCATACGGGTATAGATATCTCCTTGTGTGTTTCTCTCTGTCAAATTATATTATCCTCTCTCTTTATTTATTTCTTCTCTCCTACCTTTCATTTTCTCTTGCTTGCTGCTTTTAGGTAATTATAAGGCCACTGTATATAGACAGACATACGCGCGTACATGCACACACCTGCACGAACATTGTCAGAACTTGGGGATTCTCATTAAAATCATCTTTTACTCTGAAGTGAAATCCGATTTCATCGTTCAATGAACACTCGAGAAGAGGCATAATTACGTGATGGATACGACAGGGGTTCTGAATTAATGCTCATGCGCCTGCATAAAACACGACGCTTTAGTGCTGCAGAGTTGCGAACATGGGCTAGATAACAAATAACCCTACGAGTTGGCCGCTCAGATGCCTCGTACGTCATAAAGCCGCAGCGGTATTCTTCGTAAATCGATACTGCGTGATGTTCATAGATCTTGCTTTTAGTTCATTGGCCAGCCAGACACTCTAAACAATTTAACTCGAGATAGACATGCATAGCAGACAGTTCAACTAGAGGTAAGCCCGCATAGCAGACAGTTCAACTAGAGGTAAGCCCGCATAGCAGACAGTTTACAGGAGTAAAAATTAACTTTTGAACAAGGGAGTCCAACGAACTCCCTGCCCTCAATAAGATTAAGAGGGAGTCCGCAGTTTGAAGTTCAAAACTAACGATATTAACAATAACGCGTGTGCTTATTTTGAATATTCATGCGATTGCACGTCTTCCAAATTGTCTTTGGACATTTGCTAAAAAAAATACAGCAATTCCGCGAGGCCATGCTCTTGAACGAAGTAGTTAGTATAGCAGAATTTTCAGGGAGTCACACGGACTCCTGCATATATGTCAAATCAGGGAGTCCGACAGAAAATCAGGGAGTATTTGACTCCGGACTCGCATTAATTTCGCACCCTGGTTTACCTAGAGCTGTAACATCAGATGTTACATCATCGTACTTGCTGCTGACACTGTGAAACATAAACCGTGCATGGTAACGCTAGAAGCCTCATACACTAAAAGATTGGTTCAAGCTCATATCACTAGTATCATACTATAGTATAATACTATAGTACAGTATAGTACTATATCATACTTCAGTGTTCATACCCCTTTCATAGGTTAATGGCTGATAGCAGCTATCTGAAGTGAGTATGGGGTTAGTGATAATCCATGCCCTAGGCCTTCATCTCCCATTATATTATCTTTCCTGGCACGCTAATGCCAGTCCAGTACTGGAGCCGGCAATGGTTTCAAAATTAATTCTCTACAACGCAGCTCAGTTACTATGGTGTAGTAAGAGTACCAAATTTGGGCATGGGATGTCAATTATCAGCGCTCCAAGCAGCGACAGAAAAACGATAGCCAAAAAACGTTATGCATGCAATGGTTCGAGAATTATGCGGTAGCGAGGCGTCGTCAGGCGTATTGGAGGCATAAGTATGACCCAATATCTCAGCCTAGGACAGGAGTATCGTAGAGACAAGTGGTTGGTCTTGTTTCAGAGAGCAAAGAATGCTGCTTAATGCAATATTATTCAGTCAGAGTAGAATAATATTGCCGTAAAATGGCACTATTTCCCCGTTTTCCAGTTTTACACTCTAGGTATTATTAGCTTTTGATAGGATCAAGAGCGTATAAAGAAGGAGAGTGTACAACGGTGAAATGCTGAAACAATGTTGCAGTATTAGTCGAATTAATAAACTTTCCCCGTTTTATTTTAACGATTCTTTGTATCGTAATATCTTAACGAATATTATTGATCAGCTGTCCTACCTTGTTAATATAAAACAAACCGCATGTCCCTACGATGCCCCTACGCTGAGATAATGAGCGGTGAAAATCTGGTATTTTCGCCGAAAACCGACTCGAGATCACTGTTTACTGCGACTGTCTCTCGCTTTGTGGCCAGTGTGTTGCTTCCGGTCGCCACTGTGTGGTGCCATGGTAGCACTGACTAACGTCAGTACTACAGAGTTTACTATACATCCAGCGTGAGGGGTCATCACTATGGCAATCAATAACAGACGTCATTCATTCCATTTGTCAATCATTGACGGAAACACGTGAGGTTTCCCGAAGTTATCTCAAACCAACTGAGACAGTGAGTCAGTGCTACCACGGCACTACACAGCGGCGACCGGAAGCAACACACTGGCCACAAAGCGAGAGACAGTCGCAGTAAACAATGATCTTGAGTCGGTTTTCGGCGAAAATACCAGATTTTCACCGCTCATTATCTCAGCGTAGGGGCATCGTAGGAACATGTGGTTTGTTTTATATTAACAAGGTAGGACAGCTGATCAATAATAGTAATACTGCAAAGAATCGTCAAAATAAAACGGTGAAAGTTTTGACTAATACTGCAACATGGTTTCAGCATTTCACCGCTGTACGCTCTCCTTCTTTATACGCTGTTGATAGGATGCATGTGCATTTTTTGTCCATAATTAGTTTGGGTGTGTGGTTGTATAGGGTTATTGTAGTTTTAGGTTAGATCCGTCAGGAGACACAAGATGCTGGTTGGGGTGCCATCGGCATCGAAGGTGGAGGGTAAATGTAACGTGATTGACGTGTGGTAATTTGAGTGATGGAAAAACATTCATATAGAGAACGGGTTTAGATTAACTTAGTATAAATGCTTTTGTTAGTAGTAGCAATGGTGGATGAGGCGTCTGGGCAAAGTTTGTATAGAAATAAACTAGGTGAGTGCTAGTGTGTTTGATTTATCCATTAGGTGGACAAACCGTCTTTCGCCATAAGGATATTAACTGGGTTGCACCCAGCATCACAGGTAGTAGATACCAGATATTGTAAGATAGATTGGGAACAATGGGGTACATAATCTTTGTAAGGGGGTTGCTTGGGGTCGGTGTAGCTCTAGATCTTAACAGGTTCGCTTCTGCGTCAAGCGTACAGGTTGAATTGTAAATTATAATAGATATTTGGCTCAAACTGCAGGCCATGCCATACCTTCTCAGCTCCGAGTCCCTTCCGAATGTAGTCGACAGCCGACGAGCCTTCGCTGCCCTCTAGGAACTGCACCTGCCATGGCGGCGACTGGGGGACATTGTCGTTGGCGACCTCGTCTTGCGTGACCTCGCAGCCACGTGGTGCGCTGTCGCTGCCGTCGTTGAGCTTGTAGACAACATTGCCCTCTAGATTTCTGACAACAACCTCAGCTTGCTCGTCCGCCGATGCTCTGCCGGGTGGTGCTTCGGCTTCGTCACTGCACGACGCGGGGCCAGCGGCAGACGCGGATTGCTCCATCGTCGCCGCGACGTCGTCTCGCCTCGGCCTCTCGCGGCCGAGGGCTTCGTTTAACAGCTGCATTGCCTCCTCGTCGTCGTCGTCGTCCAGGAAACGCACGACGGGTTGCGGAGTCGGCGGCGGTTCGATCGTGAGCGGTGGCGAGCTGCACTGGCTAACAGCAGGGGGCGCCGCCGAGTGCTTTACATTGGCAGGGGGTGTTGGCGTTTGTTTTGTAACGAGTGCAGGCATTGGAGATCGCTTCATGGCCGGTGCGAGCATCGGGTATTGCTGCATGACAGGAGGGGGAGAAGATTCCATGGAGGATTCTCCTGCTTCAGACGTAGCACCAATAGGGAGGATCTCTTTCCCCTTCCCCTCCTTCTCCCTCTCCTCTTCTTTTCCTTCAGTTCCACGCGATGCGTGCACTGAAGCTACAGACGTCTGCTCGTGAGGGGTGTGCACGCCGAGAGCATCATCTTCTGATCTCTGTGGCGGCCGGCCACCCTTGACCTGCGCACGACCCCCAGCCAAACAGTCGCTGGGGGAAGAGGCATGGGGGCTTGCTGTCATCGTCAGCTTCATGGCGACGAGGGCAGAGTCGATGCGTCGCACAGCGTCGACGCTGCCTGTGTCGTCCAGGTATTCGACGTCACCACGCGGCGAGTCAGCCTCCGAAGCACTGGACCCCGAGTCTCGGCTCCCCACATGACCAGAGGCATCCGAACTGGCTAGGACATCATTATTACGTCTTTCAGGTAAGTCATGATTACGAACTCTGTCAGGTAGGCCGTCATTATTACATTTGTCAGGTATGTTGTTAGCATTACGTTTGTCAGGCAGCTCATTATTTCTTTTCTCAAGTAGGTCATTATCATTACTTTTGTTGGGCATATTATTATTACATGTGCCACGTAAGTCCTTCTTGTTAAGTATGTCATCATCATTAGTTGGGTCAGGTTGATTGCAATTACTTCCTAGCATAGACTGATGGTCATCACTACCTGCTTCAGGTAGATCCGAGACACTAGCTTGCTCAGATACATTGTTGTTATAACCTAAACCCGGTGTTTCACGAACACTGAGTGAGTCCATAACGACAGGTGTGTCACCAGCACTGGGAGCACTAACATCGGGTGTGTCACCAACATAGCGGGTGTTAGCAGTGCCAGGTATCTCACCAGCATCCGCTGTGCCACTGGTTAAGCGAATCTTATCGCGAGCCGATTGCATTGCTTCCGTGTTGCCACACTGTGTAGTTGTCAAGACGACGTCGTCTGCCTCGGCTCTGCTGCTTGCTCCTCTTGCTCTGGTCATCGTTAGCTTCAGCGTTGCTATGGCCGCATCACTCTCCTCATCGTTGAGGAAGCGCTTTTCCGGCAACGGCGTCTGCGGTGGCTGAAAATCGTCGTCGTTATAGCCACCGTGGCTGCAGGTGGCGCTGCTTGCTAACGCCGTAATAATGAGTTGCTTCGCTGCTTCAACACTATCGTCGTCGTCGAGAAACACCTCGACCGGTCGCGGCGTCGCGGGAGCCGCGTCAAACTCGCGGCCACCACTACACGCGGCATCCTGGCGCGACGAGGCTCGCCACAACGGCTCGTCGGTCGCGCACGTTGCGTCGCCTCGTTTCGATTGCCTATTCGTCGCGGGGTGCGTGTCATCGCCACGCCGACTTAGAATGTCCAGTATGCGGCGGGCGGTGACCGGCACGACCGTAGACATTGGATTCTCACTGACCGCGTTCTCCGCTACCGCCCTCCGCCCAGCATTGTCGGTGTCTGCGGAGCAGGGAGTGCCGCTGCGTGGGCTCACGACAGCCCTCGTTTCTGGCGTGCGAATCTCGCGGCCGTTGGGCACCGGTGGCCGCAGGGCTCCAAATCTTCCCGCCTCGCTGTCCCTTGTCGGATCGAGAAGGCTCGAGCCCCAACCCGTGTCCATTGTTCGTCGTCGTTGCAGCCGTCCGTGTCAAATCACACATGCCAGTGCCACCAGCGGCTATTAGATCCACCACCACATGCATGTACGCAAGCACGCGAACTATGCAGGATGCGATGTAGGTCAGACGCTGCCGCTTCTGCTACCGCATCCACTGGTGACCCTCCGCCCACAGTTGTTCCGCATGGGAAGATGGACAGGACTTCATGATGCTGGCTGGGAATCGTCGCCAACGTAGTAGCAGTGGCGGCACCAACACAGACCTGTAACGATCGAAAATGCTTCCTTATAACAATCGCATTGTCACGCACGCCTAGTCGGCCTACTAAAGTAACCAGCTGCCGGCGGGGAGGGGGGGGTAGTCGAGAGCAATCAATGAACTCCATGGATTCACAACTTGCAGCAGCGATTGACTGAGGTTTCATTCTTTGGCTGCAGCTAAAAACAGTATACCTCCCTGGACGCATACAGCTCAAGCAGAGAGAAAGTTAGGGAGAGGAATGTATACGGGAAAAAACATGAAGGGGAAGCAAGGAGGGGAAAGGAAGGGAGAGTAAGACAGGTGGCAATGAGAGGCTGGCATTAAAGAAAAGGCATGAGGAAGCACAAAGAGAAAGTGCCAGGCATGTACGGGAAAGCAATAAGATACACACACGAAGAGGAAGGAAGGAAGAGAGAGCCAGGAAGAGGAAGACAGGGAGAGACATATGGGGAGGGGGGAGAGGATGGCAGAGCTGAAATTATGTGAGGTGACGCGAGGTTGTTTAGTCGCTGCTAAGAGCTGCGTGACATATATATAAACAGTTGTCATGCTACACATCAGCTCGCATGTCCTGCACACATAATAGACACTTGTGCCACATGGTGCAATAAAGTTGCTGAATGACAAGGCAGGGCAAACTACCAGTGCATATCAGGTTGAGAGAGAGAGAGAGAGAGAGAGAGAGAGAGAGAGAGAGAGAGAGAGAGAGAGAGAGAGAGAGAGAGAGAGAGAGAGAGAGAGAGAGAGAGAAGAGAGAAGAAGAGAGAGAGAGAGAGAGAGAGAGAGAGAGAGAGAGACAAGCACCCACCAAGAGAGAGAGAGAGAGAGAGAGAGAGAGAGAGAGCAATAAACCTCCCCGTAAATAAGATCATTAGTTTTCTCCTTCGCTTCCTGATCGCTTCTATTAATTAATCACTACGCCCTCCTGTCACACAGTGCAACTAGCGGCGAGAGGCAGTGTCACGTACTCGGCTGACAAAGCCCAAACAACTCGTTAGCCGCTGTTAACCACTTTTCCGCCGACGAGACCGCCAGTTGCCGTTCGCGTCGCAGCACAGACGGACAAAATTCGCCGAGATGGCGCAAGCGAGCTCAACGATAACGCTAGCGCTACTACTGATGATCACGCTCACTGCTGGCTACCACACGGGCGCGCCGACGTCACGCTGTGACAGCATGACGCCCGGACATATAATTGGGAGCCAGACCAGTGAGCCACCCTACACAGTGATGCCAGATCGCAGCTCCTACACAGCCAACGACATCATCATAGGTATGCCGTTAATGCTATCACACTAAATCATGGCTACCGCTGGCGTTATACAAAATGCGATAACTAAATAACAGTGGCGGTTTTACTACACTAAGTGGCGAATACAATTGGCAAATGATTTAACTGCTCATAAAATAACGATTGAATAATGAAATCGTCAAATTGCAGTGTCGTGTAAGTACTAACAAATTCCGAAACCTAGACCTTTGGTGCAACTACTGCACAACGGTGCAAGAACCTAGTTTTGTGTACACTTGTAGTAGCAAGAGCTAATAATACCTGTAAATATACGCTTACAGTATTATTAGCTCTTGATAGTAATAGTATTGATGAATAGATCGGTTGGCCTTTGCACCCTCCTTGTTCTCGATGTTCACTAAACTATATTATTTCATTTTTATTCGATTACTTTACTAAAAACGTTTTCGTACCTCTTTTTCCATACCTATCACCTGTTTATTCCTTGCTTAGCACATACAATAAAGTTAGCAGTGACTACAGTTTTCCATTGGTGGCTAAAAATAACTTTTTAATTGACGATGTCAAGGCGAGCTAAAAATCTGCAAATCTTTTTTCAGCAGGGTAGGTCCTAAGTGCAAACCCTTCACTATGCTAGCACACACACACACACACATATATATATATATATATCCTATACTCTATTTGGACTAACACAAAGATTCGAAAATTCAGGTTACTAATGGCAGAGTTGGCCCGGAACACATGCCTACCTGGGTTCTTAATATATAATGCCATCAGTAAACGACAGGTGGGCTAACCAACATTTCACACATCACTGTATTACATCTACGGCTAGCAATAGTAGCATGCTCTCTCTCTCTCTCTCGGTTTCCAGTCACCATCCAAGCAAACAACGGCGTGACCTTCAAAGGCTTCATGCTACAAGCGCGAGACCAGAGCGGTGCCAGCGTCGGAGAGTTTACAACTGTCGACACAGCCACCAAGCTGACAGAATGCTCCGGCGCAGCTGCCGTCACCCACGACGACGGGAGTAGGAAGACAATCAAGAGCTTCACGTGGAAAGCTCCAGCTGAGCCGGGAACCGGTGCTGTCACGTTCTTGTACGTAATTACTCTGCCACGTAGAAAATAACCGTAAGGGTACCGTAGAGAGCAAAGTAACAACGAACAGGAGTATTGGGTTGGAGTTTGTCACTTGTCTGTATCAGCTTTTAGCGTGGGATCAACAAGAATAACCGTCCACGTATTGGCATAAAGAGAGCAAATGAGTTGGCATTGCGCAAGCATCATTAATTCCATCCTCCACTGAGAGCAGAAATGTCACATTTAAGTAGCTTGCCAAGAGTCATGCATTACACTTGCGCAGACTGTGCATATATACATATATGTATATATATAACAGGGTTTCTTATACAAAAGTACACAAGGCACAATGGCGCACCGCCGTTGTCAAATTTAACATCGCCGTTGTGAAAATATTCCTGTATTTACTGATAAGTATATCTTGTATCTATATACCTATAACTATATCAATACATCCAGTATTTGAATCCATCATGCGCGTTTTTTCCCAAACTGGCTATTACCTCCCCTGTCTAATTTTCCCTCAGAAGAAACCCTGTATAACTTTCCTTTTTCAGTGCTACAATTGTTCAGAGGTTTACAACATACTGGGTAAAGGTACCATCTCCGGCCATAGCAGAGACGACTGCCACGGAAATAAGAATTATTCCACAATCAGACCGAGTACAGAACAATGACGAGGAGAAAACGACAGGCTCGCCACCCAGTGTTGTTTCAAACAATAGATCGATTTTACGTAATCTATGGGAGAAATTTTTTGGTTGAACTGTGTTAGAACAGCTGCCGCTAATGACTTAGCCGCCGCTTAGCATACAGTTGCCTCTTCACTCAGAAACTGAGCAACAAAAGGACTGCGTTGCTTGCTTGAAAACTGGTTGCTTGCTTGAAATCAGTGGGATCTCGCTGGTATTATTAGTGCTCACCCCTGAATGTGACATAGGTATAACATGGAACAGCTATATAGGTATATAATGTAACATGGGATAAGGAAAGAGCAAGATATATGAGTCAAACTGATGTGCAGATACACAATCTGTGACCACTTTGCAACGTGGCAATCCTGCTGCGCCTGCCTGTAACGAAAAAAACAAATAAAGGGTTTCACTGCAATTCTGAAAAATGTCGTTTGCTTTATAAATACTTCCAACCTTACCACCTTACTCCTTAGTCATCCTAATATTTTTTATAACCATTAGCCTTACTATAATTTTAACGTTCAAGTGCATGCAGTAGTAAACTGTTGTACATATCAATGTATATCTTAGGTTCAAGCCTAATTTGGAAGCCCAATGTTAATGACAGACTTGTCGGCAGTAGCCCAAATTCTGAAAAGGCCTTGGCTTTTAGCGACATATTAAAATGAGAATTTCTCGAATAAAACGAAAAAAATTAATAATTTAGACATGTTAGTGTACATATTACTGATTACTTCAGCTCAGTTTCTGCTGTTATGGTACCATGTACGATCGTCGACCGCCTTGGACGTTGCCTGCCCAATGATGGACGTTTGACAAACCGCATCGCATTCTTATCGAGGTTAATGTGTTCGTACCATTCTAAAATGCATTCCGTTTACGCTGACTTTCCTCTACGGCCGGGTGGCCGTTCCTTGTACGGCTAACGAGCTCTTAATTATGTAGCTAATGTACTCTGTGTCCGTCCCCGGGCGTCTCCGAACATTTGCATTACTAATGTGCCAAATTCTCTATGTCTCTATCTCAACGTTAAAATGCCGTATTACATATAGACAGGTTACTGGTACCTATATCGAAGTGTATACAACTTAACCTAGTGTAGAGACAGGGCTCGAGTCTTGTGAGAGGAAAAAGCTCGCGCTAGTTTTGTTAACATGTATGTAAACAAATCGCATTTGATATTCAGACCGATGCACATATTAGTGGGAAAAATTATGTGTGAGTGTTCTATGACTTAGTTTTAGTATGTTAGTCTTACCATATATACAGTTGGTATTATGGAAGGAGTACCGGTACACAGGAACTTGGAACATGTCATTAATGAAATGATGGTAAATAAACACGAAATGTATTTACTACCAAAGTCTTTATATGTTTATATCTTCTCTATCAACGAGTAACTCCACGTAAATGTCATTCAATCACTACTCTGCAACACACAGTCTGAATGCACACATGTACGTATGTCGCTGTGCACAAACATAAATATAAATAAATACAAATATAAGTATAAATAAAAAATTATATATACTTATTTATCACATTAAATTGGGCGTTTGGTCAACACATTTTATTCAGATAATAGATTACAGAGATGCCAACCCTGATCATTGAGATAGTAATTTTTTGATTGCCAAGGGCAATCACAGGCTTCACAGCAAACGCCGAAGGCGTTTGGGGTGGTGGGCTAAGGGAGGGTGGTGTCCCCCCCAGGATTTAAAAAAAGGAAGCCATTTAGTGCATCCTGGGCATTGATTTGAATCCTTTCAAAGTGAACAATTTTCCTCCACAAAATACAAATATTCACCAAAAATGTAGTGAATGTGATGCATGTAATTCAGACAAACATAAAACACATTGCTTACCATGCAAAAATCCTGTACGGGACACACAATCAGTGTCACAAAATGAGCCCTTCATAGTCCACAGTCAGTGTCACACAAAGTTCACAATCAGTGTCACACAAAGTTCACAGTCGCTGCGTTCACACGAGATACACGGCCTCGCTGGTTCCGTACTTATCTGGTGCTGAATTCAGCTGAAATACCGTGCTAACACAACCTGAAGCGTTCACACGAGAATCGAGGCTTAGCTGGCTAGGTATAATATAGACTGGTACCCGGTCAACAGTTCCACACGCTACACTAACGTCGTGTAGCAAACGGGTACCAGTCTAGGTAAGCGCACTACAGTTTCGCAATTCGAAATTGCGTTCACACGACAGACAATACGCGACCAGCGTGGTGCCGAATATACGCGGCTTAATCAGTACCGTACTGAAATACGCGGCTTACTCGGCGCGGAATCACATTTCAGCGCGGAGTAAGCTGCGTATTTCAGTACGGTACTGAATAAGCCGCGTATATTTTTACCGTGTGAACGGTACTGGTAACGAATCAGGTACTGTACTGAAATCCTCGTGTGAACGCAGCTAGTCACTGTGCTAATTTAAGCCTAGCGCAGACTTGCGACTTCGCTGCGACCTGCAATCGCATGCGATCGGTCGCACGCCTCGCCGAGTGTGCGCATGCAAGCGACTGGATACCATTTGGCGAAAAATTACACTGGCAGCATGGGCAATATTTACCCGACATTTCCAGTTGGATCGCGACATCTTTATATGCCGCATGGATCTTAGTGCGATCGCTGTATTCCGGCAGTGTAACATCAAACAAAACCGGCCTCTCCATCCACATATCTAGCAAAATGCTTACTTTCTCATCACTCTAGCTTGTTGCGTCCACGCAAGAAAGAGATTTTACATGGTGATAAAATGGTTTAATTATTCACCTACAACAGTGTTAGAGCTTTAAAATAAAAACCTCTCGCCAAACTGGGCGAGTGAGTCAATAAGTTAACTCGCCCAAATTTTAGAACAAAAATGATTGTCAAAGAATTTAGTGAAAAAGTAGACTATGGGGGTGGGTTCAGGGGTCCCTGATTAGGCGAGGTCCGAGGGCCCTCTCCCAGAATTTTTTTTGAAAATTACACCTCTTAGATGCAATTTCCTGCACTCTCAGGCAGCATAATTAAACAATTAATCTTCATCACAAAAATATCACATTTGAGTTGAGTATTTTAATCTTTGGGGACACCAAAGACTAAAACACTTACTTAAAAAAAGAGAAACATAAACTTCAAATTGCTGAGGGTTGAATTGCTCAGTCTCTGCCAAGTACAATTTTAAGGCAAAGTAATGTGTTGTTAAAAAGTTAATCTATCTGCCAACTGAATTAACACAGGCCTTGACGCTTAAATATTTTCAGATCTGTACAAAATTTACTAAACCGAGGGTGGGAAGCAGTGGGAAAAACTATTTTACTTATACTGCAATTGAAGATTGGAACTCTCTACCACAGCAAGTTAGGACAAATTCTGTTTATTCTAGTTTAAAGTATAGTGTTAAGCTGCAATGTCTGATGGAAAAGGTAGAAACATTAGAGGCAGAGGAGTATGATTTTCGCTAAAAGAATTCGGTTGAAATTAGGCATAAGAAAACAGGGGCGTGTACAGGGGGGGTGGTCCAGGGGGTCCGGACCCCCCCCCCCTGCTCGCGCAGAAAACGCATCTAAGGAGGTCTAATTCCTAAAATTTTCCCCCAGACCCCCCCTTCGCGTGCTCGCAAGTTTGGGTTACGGTTAGACCCCCCCTGGTACAAATCCTGTACACGCCCCTGGAAAAGTTTGTATCGTCTTATAAGAATGTACCATTGTATGACTGGTTAGTGGTTAAAACTACAAATTTGTATATTTCAATAGTTAGTCCTGATAGTATTAGACTAGTAGTGTAATTGTTAGATTCAAGGCATAGCAAAACAAGGACCACAATGTAAATCAGGCTGAAGGGGTTGTTGTCGTATATGTAGTAACCGAGGTGTCGGCGAGTATGTCGCCTACGCCTACTCCCTAACCCTAACACCCTAACCATATTAAATAGTTACCTCGGGTACATATTATACGACAACGACCCTTCGTGTGTAAATAAGTGTGCTAGTCATGCTTTTTGCAGTGCTCAATTTTAAGGTTTTTTTTTGGTTGTCCTCCAAAAGAGTGGCATATGGTTGTCCCTCAAGAGTTTTGGTTGTCCGGATATTATTTAAACATGTGCTGCATGCGCTCTGCTCACGTGATGCTCAGTGCTGTAAAGCAAAAGGCCTAATCATGTACATTTTGTACGTATTGCAGTGACAGCAGACATGGCCATTCGCATTGTTTCACTCATTATATGAAGAGAATAAAATATTGGTAATGTGGTAAATGATGCTGGGATCAATGACGTATAATAATAGTAATTAAAAGTTGCATGAAATTTATTTTATAACATTTACATTCAATGCAGTCGGCAAATGATGTCCTCCATGACAGTTTGTTTATCGAGGCCACTGATCTCTATAGTAATTGGCTGGCGAATTACAAATTACAAATGAGCGAGTGGGCGTAGAGCGAGTGCGCGCGATACATGTACATACACGTGATGTTATACATTGTATCAAGCAAGCCAGACAATGCGTCTAGACATGTACGTTTGCAGCGTATTGTGCAACCCTGGCCGTATGTAATATGAACGCGCGCTCGCTGGTGGCCCGCGAGCGATCGATCGCCCAGGAGCGATGAACGAGAAGAAGCGCGCACCGTCATTATTGCTTATTTAAAAGTTTTGGATACCAACATTGTTGAAATTACTATCTAAAAAAGGGATACCAGATTTCAAATACCTGAAGCGCTACTGTACGTGTACGCCAACACTAGTATAGAGAGCTCAGGTTATTGATTTTATAGAGGTTGGACACCGAACAACCACGAAAGCAATTTGTAGTTGCCCGAGAGAAAATCCAGTCGTCACGGACGACCGGACGACTGTTAAAATTGAGCCCTGTTTTGTGTATATATCCTTAGTAGTTACCGGTATCCAATTTTATGAATTCAGAATTTTATTGTAAAAGTATGCATGCTAGGTATGTATTGTATAATGTATATGATGGATAATTGCCTAAATAAATAAAAATAAAAAATAAAAAAAGCTCACTGTGTGAGATGGATGTCCGGGCGCGTAGCCTGGCGGCTCCTCGCCCGGAACCGGTCGCGTAGCCACGGCCTACAGAGTACAGTTAGGCCTACACATAAACTTAGAACTAGACTAGAGTCTAGCGAGCTAACCTTACGGCTTACCTTTTATGGTCAACTAAGATCATTTATATTTAAACAGATTGTCGGATACTTATGAATAAGGTACCCGTGCGATCCGTAAGATTAATTAAATGCATGTGTGAATTACTTTTACAACCGCGAATTCCCTCGTTTATCTCATCGATGTTGTTGTTGAGATGCGGACATCGCTGTACGTAAACCCCACAATCCTTTGTGAATTAAACAAGTTAGTACACGTCTCTGCCAAAACTCAACGAGAGATGGCGCTCTCGGTGCACTGGCGATACCAAAATGTCAGCCTCCATGTTAACTATTCGTGGAGCGTTGTTCTTGAGAAATTTTAGGGTTTTATCAAATCCACGGGCATTGTGCAGTTCAGAGAAACCAGCTAACGACCAGAGTGATCCCCTAGATAGGCTTCAAAAGAAAAACGATCCTATTGCTGTTTCCGAATTTGACAGTGACAGTGACAAATTGGTCAGTAAAAGCGGCTTTGCGAAAGCGTTCAACAGATTCCAGCATCTAAAATCGCAAGAACATTCGGCCATTGCTGAAGACGCGACGAGTGAATCGTTTAGCACAAGACTTAGACATTCAAAGCTGGTGCAGATAGGAGAGTCAGAAGGTCGTGTAGTCGTTGGGAAAATATTCTCCACTGTTGAGGATGACCTTTACATAGACTTCGGTGGAAAATTTCACTGCGTCTGCAAACGACCACAGAAAAATGGAAGGTGAAAATCATCTATTTGGTGTTTATGTCGGGCCACCATATTAATAGTAATAATACGCCCTGGATATCCATATGCCGTTCCATGGCCCATGGCTTTGCCAATATCTCGTTATTGTATACGGTCTGGGGCACAGGGACTTGGACTTGGAGCGTTTCAATAAAATATCATAATAATGCTAAATAAATACGAAATCTATTTACTACCAAAGTCTTAATGTTTCTCTACTCTCTTTCACCTATTATTGCCAACAATTTCCTGTAAATGCCGTCCAAATGCTCATCTGCAACACATGCTGGCTGCCGCACACGCTAGCTGCTGCACACTGACACATAAATATATAGCAGGTAGGAAAGCATGCTGCCAAAATTCGCTCGACACTTGCTTGATTTCATACGAATACAACACAAATATTTAACCATTCTACTCCATCTTTGTTTCTATTTGAACGGCAGTGTTCACTTGTTATAAAAACATACTGTGTGTTTGTAACCGAGCTTTGTCACGCAAAATCACACAAAGCCTGACGAAATTCTCGCGTTCGCACTCGTTGCGCAGTTTATGTAAATGGCTGTCGGAATCAGGAAATGCCTACCGGCTCTCTTCGTGACCTCATTTTTGCGCCGCATTATTGCAACGCTCCACTGGCGGCTTTGACGAGGCTCGTACGGGAGTTGGAAAGCAGCGTGGTAGTTTCCCAAAATGCAGTGCTTTGCTTATAGCCCTGTACTTGCAGCCATTTACATAAACTGCGCAACGGGGGCGAACGCGAGAATTTTGTCAGGCTTTGTGTGATTTCGCATGACACAGCTCGGTTACGAACACAGACAGTATGTTTTTTATAAAAAGTGAACACTGTCCTTCAAATAGAAACAAAGATGGAGTAGAATTATTGAATAATTGTGTTGTATCTGTGTGAAATCAAGCAAGCGTCGAGTGAATTTTGGCAGCACGCTTTCCTACATGCTATATATTTATGTGTCAGTGTGCAGCAGCTAGCGTGCGGCAGCCAGCGTGTGTTGCAGATGAGCATTTGGACGGCATTTACAGGAAATTGTCGGCAATAATAGGTGAAAGAGAGTAGAGAAACATTAAAGGCATAATAAGCCCATTGCTTATGCAATGTTGACGAATGCTAAAGTAACTGGCACCTTGTGTAGTTAATAAGTACATAATCTTACAATGTTACATCCAAACGCGTAGTAGATTGTCCAATATCACTGCTGGTTACTAAGAAATGTCTAATTGAAATCCGCAGTCCAAAAATCAGTTGGTTACAGTTTTAAACCGCTGCCGGCGAAGCGGGTGTGATACAGATTTATAGTGCACCGGACATTTTTGCACGCATGCTCGGCCGTACGCAATGCTATTATCAGTGATTTCGTAAACATGGACGCTCGTGATAAGGAACTTTTTGTCAGGGCTGTCCACGTGCATCCGTGATTAGTACGTGTGTTTTACTCCATTTCCATGATTAGTCCGTGGCCGTGATTACACCGCTGACACCTCCATTTCATCTGGCGTCCAAAACATACGGACCGCACAAATGTTTACGTTATCGCTTGACTCCTGGATGACATTTACGGCACGTAAATGATACGTTGATACATATTAACAACCGATTTCCAGTCTTGTTTGTAATGTAACCAGCAGTGATATTGGACAAACTAATACACGTTTGGCTATAACTTATAAGGTTATGTACTTATTAACTACACAAGGTGCCAGTTACTTTAGCATTTGTCAACATTGCATAATCAATGGGCTTATTATGCCTTTAAGACTTTGGTAGTAAATAGATTTCGTTTTTATTTAGCATTATATTTTATTGAAACGCTCCAAGTGCCTGTGGTCTAGGGGATGTGCGAGCTGAAAAAATAAAATAAAACTAGCGAGCAAGCGGCCTTGTTAAGCCGACCTTGAGTCGGCTTGCGATCGAATGCGGCGAGACTTGATCTCATCAAACTCTATATAATACTATAATAACACTATATAGCCTATATATCAGCCTTTATATTTTAGTTTGTTTCAAGTACCTATGGAACCTTGCGCAATCTCGCGATTTTAAGAATGCGCAGCTCAACCAGCCGCTATTATAACTGCCGAACCACTCGAGCGGATATTGCATATGGGCATGATGGGTGCAGCCATCTTGAATAAATTACCATATTTTTCAATGCATGAAACCTAAGCCAGGAAACGTTATTCTAGGTCTGAGGCATGTTCAGAAGAGCGAACGCTCGCGAGCGCTCGCCTTCTGAACGACACTGCGCGAGCGAGCGCGCGCAAACTCGAAAGGCTGTTCGCGCAGCGCGCGAGTTGTTTACAAGATGGCGACGGGCAATCTGGCGAATGGGAATCTAACATTTCTGACTTCAATTTGCAATCTATTTCAACTTCATTTCATTTTTCATTCATTCATTTACTTCTAAATTCAATTCGGATCAATTTCGTCTGCTAATTCGTTTAACAGTACTTGTTCGAAGACATTAAAATCTCGCGATTAAAATCTGCTGAGTAACCCTCCATGGGGGCCGCCATCTTGGATGAAGCCAGCGCACAGCGAGCGCTCGTGTGCCGTTCAAGAGGCGCTGCGTTCGTGCATCGAGCGTTCGCATCGAGCGCACGCTCTGTTGAACACGCCACTGGTCTTTCGAGCTTGCCGACTGGTTTCATAATTATTAATAATATTAATTGATCAGTCAGGGATAACTGCTCATTTACTCAGAGGACAGTGACTTGCAATTAAGTGTGAAATCACCGTATATCAAATTTGCTCCCTGCCACTTGTAGTCTCATCTTCCATGTAAATTTCGATTATAAAAGTTTTGTACCAACTTTTCAAGGCAAAGTATGGGTGCAACTTATACACGAATGTGACTTATATACGAGTAAATATGGTATATATACAGTATATCCTCATTATACTGCCCCTCGTAATACTGCCAATCTCACTTATTGCCAGGAAAATGCCAATGTACAGATCATTTGTATCTATTTGTAGTATTGTACGTAATTTAGCCTCGTAATACCATCCCTTGTTAACCGCCAACTGCCAGCATTATGGCTATGTACAATCCTATATAAATGTATTGAAAGTACACTCGTTGTACCTCGTTATACTTTTGGTAAGAGATATTAGGAGAATTTAATTATGTAAACAGCTTTAATACTATACTGCATGCCCCAATGATGCACAGATTTATATGCATAGATGCCGAGTCACATGAAGCCATTGTGTAAAAATCATTCTGCACAAAAGCTTCGGACGCTTTTGCAGATGTAAACATCAGAGTACAGGGTTCGAACATGGAAACGTTTGTGCTGATTCAGAATATTTTTATGCACAAAATGCTTGCATAGAACACCACTTTGAGAAGATACGTTTTGGATTTCAGGGGAAAGCAGTTTTAAATAAATAAATATAAAAAGTACATGTATAAAGATGAAGTATATTTTGCTAAAATCAATCTGTTTTATTGTTTCTTCAGTGCATATCACAGAGGAGTTATGGTGAGAATTCGTCTGATAGACTTGGAACTTTCTTCAAAATTTTTGGGCTCTGAGAAAGACGTGACATTGTTGGAAGCTGATGCAAGTCTGCTGGGTCTTTATCAGTCCCACTCACAGTCATCCTCAGTCCCAGCTAATACTTAAATTGAATATTAATCTAGTTAGTTTATTGTAAAATTCTTGGTCTATAGGCTATTGTGTATGAACCCTTATTGGTGTCATGAACTGATGTATTGTTTTATGCTAGATGTCCTGAAAATAAGATTTGCTAGAGGCAACTGTTTTGTAATATGCAATGTGAGCAGTTAAACATAAATAGACGTGTCAGAGCATTATACACATACCAGGAAACTAAATCATTTTCATGTTGTTCATGTTGTGTTAGCAATTAAAATCTTTGATGTAGCCAATCTATTATATGAGTAGATGGATCTGAATATGTCATCGGTTATATAATTGTATTCTTATTAACAAAAATAGATAATACTAACTAGTTATTAATGTTTTATATCTTGTCTGATATCTTTTGCAAACACTTAGTGGTGGTTACGACTGCCACGCCAGCCCTGTTCATGAGCACAGTAAAAAAGTTGGAAGTTGTTCGATCACTCGTTTGAATCAGCAGTCTTACTCTCGACTTGTAGACTCGTACACACCAGGGTCAAGTGCCCTTGCTTGTGTGCTTGCTAGCAACTTGCAAAGCCACATGCAAGTTGAGTTTTGGGCAGGTGACTATGGGCAATTCGTCCTTGACCATGTAACAGTATCTAAATTCCTCTGGTGATGTAACTGCCCCCCTTGTCCATCTGCTAGCCATGGCCCTGATCTTTCTGTGGTCCTTGGTTTACATAGGTTTCTGTAAAAACAGCAGGTAATTACAGATATTAATCACCAGTGCGGTATAACCCCCTGAAGAAGACAATGTTAACAGGGGACAGTGCTCCCATGCATACCCATCTGTACTACATCGTTCTCACTTTCACTCCCTTTTCCGTCACCTATCTATTTCTATCCCTTCCACCCCCTCTCACCCTTTCTCTACCCCTCTCCCCAATCTCTCCTTCCCCTCTCTTGTTCTCTTATATATATATATCTACTTCTGATATATATATATATATCAGGGGCGGCGCCAGGGTATTTTCTTAGGGGGGGCGAAACCGGGGCGAAACCAGGGGCGTGTACAGGAGGACGCGAAGGGG